CCTCCCACCTATTTTTTTTTTTTTAATAACAGCTTTTCTTTGTTTACAAAATATTTTACACAAGAAAAAAAATTATTGCAGCTAGCCTGGAGAAAGGCAAGATGTGTGATACAAGCAGCAGTTTTTAACAGCTTTGAAGCACATAACCTGTTTTTTAAAAAAAATATATAGCATGTATTATTAGCCCATCATAATGATCTGGTCAACACTGGGAGAAAAGTCTTCTGCATATACCTCAGAAAGCAGATTTCCTGGCTGCCATTACCTGGTCACTGCACAACATTTTAAGAGTCTTATTCTGATGAAGCACCATATGTAAGTGCATGCATACACAGCCCTAAAAATAACTTCAGGAGAGAGAGATCCAACCTGAACAGAAGACTCAAACATAGTGGAGAAGGAGAAGCATTTGAAGGATGTGGACAGAACTGATAACACTACGAGAACTTTCTTTTACTTGGGTTCCAGTGTGAAGCTCCTGTTTAATCAACACTCCAAAATATCTCAGGAAAATTTGTCAGTGTACCCCAATTTTGAGTGTCTCTGATCAAAGAACACTCACTCAGCATAAACACTCCTTATATAACCTCCCCAAAATGAACCACTGGATACAGGATTCACAGGATTTGGGCTCTCTAACACAAAATATCAAATAATTTAACTATTTTCTGGGTCCTTTCTTCCAATACATTCCTTGGTGGTCATAGTGAGATAGGTCACTGAAGAATACACTGTAAGGGCAGGGGTAGAAAACATCCGCAATAGCTACTTAGCTTGTTTTCAATAATCCATTTTTTTACTGCCATCGCCACTACAGAATGATTTCCAAAGCAGTAATGTCAATTTTGAACACCTGTCAAAAACTTTAATCACACAACAGCTTCCCTCCCTGGCCCACTGTTCCTACAGAAGCTCTTCATTTGCAGAGAGACTTCCTCTACATGGGGGAGGATCAGGACAACAACTTTGATCAGATGACTTTGTTCTTTCTCAGGACAGGTAAAGGGCTCTGAGATGTGACAGAGAAATGAAACTTACTGCACAAAAACCTCAGAAACAAACAAAAAAGCAAGCCAAAAATTACTAACAAAATGAACAAGGAACTGACTGGAAAGGATTATTTATTCAATTTTCTTCAGAGTTTCTTACTCATATGAAGAATATAACAACTGGATGCCCTACAATACTGTATTATATTGCTGGTATTTTTCATCTAATAGATGTAGAGTTGTTAAGCTGACCAAGGGTTACCTTTGAAATTTTCTTTGCGTTCTGCAACATTAGCTGAAAAACCTGTTATTTGGCTTACATTACCTTTTTGTTATGTCTATAACAGCCAAACCTACACACATATGAAGTTCAGGAACATTTTTCTACAGTTTTTGATACCAACTGGACATTAGGACAGTTCGAAATTCAGAAGACTAAAACAAAACAACAACAACAAATCACAACCCTGAATTTTAAAGAAAAGCAAAGCAACTTTCCTGGTTTCTGAGCTCAACATGTATGACTAAAATTATATCTTGCTTCATTATTTCCTGTAATTTCCTAATTTTAGAATCAATTTAATTAATCTGCCCAATGGCATTTTTTGTTTGTTTGTTTATTTTCATTCAATAAAACCTCTAATTCTAAGCAAATGTTAATGATTTACTCAACCATTCATATTTACAAACGTCAAGCTTTCTTTGTCAAACTGTGTAAGTACAAAAGCAGTAAGCAGTGTGTTTAAAAAATCTGAAAAGAAACAAAGCAAAGATAGATAAATATTTCTCTTTGTTCAAAGTAGAAACTGAATGACAGCTTGTTATAGACAATTTGCACTGGGTTTACATATGCTACTGTAATGTGTTTTAGTTCCACATAACATCAGAAAATGATGTCATATTACAGGAAAAAATGGAAAAAAATGCAAAAGGGAAGACTGTATTATGAGCAGAGGCTCACAGGCTTTATGAGCTATCTAAAATAAATTACTATTCACATTTGTACATGGCAAGCAGCAATAGCTGCTAACCCCCCTGCTGTTAAATAGTATGATACTGACAATGGTGATTGATGACTGATTTCAGAAGAAAACAATACTGGCAATGAAAATTTCATAGAAATGGGTTCTTGTTCTGGCTGAATGTCTCCAGTGACTTGTAATCATGTTTACAAAGAAATTTAGTAAAAAATTGACAAAAGAAATATTGTCCTCTATCGCACAAGATTTTAACTGGTGCTAAGCATGGGGGTCATAATTTAATATTCCAAGTAAATTTATTGTGGAATGTTTCGCTTGGCAAAGAGTGAGTGAATGTCTATATACAATGGACAGTGTGTAGAAACCCTGTATATTTTTACCAGTATCTTACTCATTCATCCATAACACTCTAGTGCAAAAAAAATTGTGCATTAACATTTTGCAATATAACGGCTGATTGGGAAATTGGCAAACTGCCCTATGTATGAGATACACTGTAAGTTTCTTTAATTTTAGCAAGATTTCAATGGTAAAGCATTTGCAGGTGTACGCAACCTCAAGGAAGTTTGTCTTCTTCAAGAGAGAGCTTTATTTCTTCAGAATATTCCTGGGGATAATCTGTGGTGCTATCATTTGTCACAGTACTCAAAGGATTTATCCAAGTGCCCAGAAGAATGCATTGAAAGGCATCCAGCCACATACAAATATGAAAGTCTGAGGCATTAAATATGACAAATTGGCATGACTCGGCAGTCTTCCTTAAAGTGTGCCTTGATTTGAAGCAGATGCAGCCAGGCATTTTGATCCAACTTTAAGATGAAAAAATATTCTTTGTCTGATCCCCAGAAGACTGACACATTTTTACCAGAAAATGTAGCTGCATGTAGGCTGACAGAAGATGTTAAAGATTACAGCAGCAAAGCCAAGAGAAGAAGGGAAACTGGTATATGGCACCAAAGGAATTACTGCTTGTCCATCAGAGGTATGGCTATGAATCAGTCATATTGGGCACTGAAGGCTATACCACTGTACAAACTGTGTTCAGAGTCGTATCAAACCTCACAGCCTTTGCCTCTGTGGGTTTTAAGTTTGTGTCATACATGGGATTTTCAAATGAAGCCTGTCCATTACTGTTTTCGTGTCCAGCATACCCATTGTACTGTACTTTTGGTCTTGTTCTGGGAAAAAAAAAGACAGGAAATTGCCATTAGTAACTCTTAAAAATAAACATTCTACAATCATTGCAAGTTTTGTCTATAATGTTTCCATCCTGTCTATACAAGTTGCATGACTGCCTACAAGTGATAAAAGAAGACCCATAAAGGATGTTACGGGGACCTAAAAAGCAAGAGAAATCTGTCTGGAAGTTATTTTCCATGGCATGAGGAGAAGAAAATGAATTCTTAACAGGCAAACTGATGCTACAAAGCACAGAGACAGTGTAGGTGAAATATAGGTATGTATTTTCCATTAAAAAATGTCAAAAGAATTACAATTTCATAGCTTATTAGTGCCAAAATTGGCAGCCCAAGTAAAACAATGTACCAGAAAAGTACAAACAAAAGAAAAGTTGGAACTGATTACATTTATAGTATTTTCTGTCAATAGTAACAATTATATTTTTTATGTGATATTTTCGGTTTTAGATTGGTAGTTGTACCACAAAAGAATACTTACTTGGAGTTTAAACACTCCAGTTTTACTAAATTAACACCTTACCAATTTCCAAATATATATCCTTGTCTTTCTAAAGTGTTGCTATTAATGTCAAAAATACAGTAGCATCTTTAATTGGTGAATTTAATTTGAACACCATCAAGCATATTCTAATTGATTTTCTTGGAGAGTTTGGATTTTACCCACACTAATTTTTACAGTATAGCTAGGAAGGCAACTGGACCATCTGTGCAAATGCTCTGATGAAGATCAATACAAATCGCGAATTTAAAAAACTTGGAGTAGATGACTAAGTGTACACAGAAAGATGAGAGTAAGTGGCTCCTAATTAATCCTTTTGATAGCATCTTGGGTTTTAGATAACAACCACAGACTTTCTTGCCTCAGATATTTTCAAGCAGAGGTACAGTGAACGTTTTAGTATTTTGCTGCTATCAGCTGTTTATTACTGTTCCAGAGCAGGAATTTAGCATTGCACCACTGAAGTGCTGTAACTGGTCTCCTGGGTGCTACTAAATCTAAGTTAGTGCAAAGTCATCCAGCATAGCTTCAATCAGTCAACTCTTGCACTGACAGCAAGTGTCCAGAATATGTTGCACTGCTAGTGGCAGTAACCTTCAGATAAGGGTCAGTAATTTCGGTTATTCCAGATATATCTGCCATAGCATGCTTGCTTACCTCCATAAATACTTCCAGCAATGAACACTACTAAATACCTTGACAGAGATTTTTATGTCTAAACATATATAATCAGATTGATCAAATATTAATTAATATTCACATAAATTTTGACATTTGAATATCAAAAGACACAAATCATTATCTTTCAGTAACCACTCTTCTATTTTGGGTAGTGTTTTACCACCATGAAGAACACATCAAAACTTAAAGGATGTTCACATTTTTATGCAAAGTTCTGTTAGAACACACTAAGCCAGTAATTAAATGAAAAAAAGAATTGTGCAGACTTTTTGATACATCTAGTAAAATTATACCCTATTATATCATATTTTACTACTTCAACCTTAATTCTCTTAGCATATCTAAAGAACTATGTAAAGAAGGTTCAGTATATATTTTTAGACATCTAATTGAAACAGGGCAAGAGACTTAATGGAGTGCAAAATGTAGATGCTTGGTGCTTAATAATTGTAAAACAATTTAGAAAAGAATCTCATGATAAAACTTCAGAAAAAGTTACTTGCAAATCAGACTCTTTTTTTAGAAAATTATTTTGTTTTGGATAGTGGATAGGCAAAACTATCACTGGAAAAATGCCAGTAGTTGACAACCTACAAATAATTCTGTTACACGTAAATATGTCTTTTTCTGCATATTTTCATTTTCAAAGTAACAAAAATGTTTAGAAATCTTAACTAGGAGCTTTCCTAAGTGTAAGTAATTAAATATATTTTAATTTTGTTCAGAAAGACTAAGATGCTGTCTTCATTCCTGAAGCAACCCCTGTCTGTCAGATAAAAGGTACAGAAACTGTGTGAAAAGGTTCGACAACCCTGGTTCTAATGAGATGATATTAATATGACATAGGCACAGCAAAAACATCCATAAAATCGTCCCCCAAGAAGACCTTCTAATTCTCTGATATAGAGAGCGTCTAGGGGCATAACTACTATCACATCACTGTGAAAATTTCATGTTGTTTTTCTGGTCATTAAGGTAATTTGATGAAAGTCCATTTAAAAGTCACAGATTCTCTTCTCTTTCCTTTGGAACATGCTTTGTTTTGAAGAGAATAAAGGTGACCTAAAGTTATATTACATCAGTACTCAACTTGCTAATTTTCTGATAACAATTTGACACAGATAACCCCTCTAAATACTGTGGTTTAATGGAAGAAATTGTTTGAAAATATATAAAAGGAAGAATACTCTTTGAAAGATTAAGTTATGAGTAACATTTCCTTTTCCAAGTGCCTTATGCATTTAAACTAGAATAAGATAGGCAGAACTCCAATGCTGCACCAGCAGTACAATAAACATCAGGATTACAGCTGCTCATCTGAAGACTAAGTTTTATCTCTCAAATACATTTATACTTCTAGTAAATAGAAAACAGAACCTCCACTGCTCATGTAGAACATAACAAACTTCATAGAATAAAGAGTAAAATGTACACCTCTATCACAATACAGTTTTATTAAATTTTTCTTCGCGTTTGCCTCATCTTTCTAAGAGCAAAGTGACAGCGATGTTCCTCTATATTCCATCGCTTCACCTGATCTGAATGCCTGTGCTTTAATGCTGCTGTTTAGGTTCCTCCCACTGCAGAACAAGCTATCTGAGTATGCAGATCTGTAGGCATTAGAAAGGCATCTTAAAATAACACGTTCTGAGACAGAATTCACATCTCTTCCTGAGCAGTTTTTCAACAAAACGTTATATTACATTTCAGGATATGTATCATTTTAACTGGAGTTCACAAGTTGAAGCCCCATTGCAATTTCTTTTTCCCAAATCATCTAATGTTGAGGTAGGTAGACAGCCCAGTCCAACATAGGGCAACAGTGGACTTCAGTTTGTTTATGTGATTTCTCACAATTATGAAATACTCTTGGTATCATGATTATAGAACAAAAAGTTTTAAAATCATATTGTTGAAAATCAACATTTCTGTTAAATGCCATTTTGCAAACTGCAAATAACACGAGGTCAGAGAGTGTTGTAGCTCAATACAAAACAAGAATTGTTCCAAAAAGCTTTAACCAAATAGAGCTCAGAACGAACAAACATATAAAAGATGCATAGCTATCAGCTTTTAAACCAAAATTAAGACAAGATGGTTGGATTTATTCTATTATCAAATGACATATAAAAGTTTCATATGAGCTGAAGTGCTGACAATTCTAGTAGTATCTACTAGCTTATTCAGCATGTACTGTAAGTAGTCTCATTATGGGCTGTTCCCTCATGGGATTTATGGATTTTTCAGCTTGTATAATTAATACTTATAAGTATTTTGAAAAAAGCAGCATACATTCAATTTAATAAAACATTAAAACGAAAAAAATAAAACACGTGACCTGAGATTTCAATCTGATTCAGCCTATTGAACCAAGAAGGTTGATAGGTCTTTGGTTCTTACACAGTGATTCATTTTTCTAATTGTTCACCATTAAGAACTGCCCTGCACTGAACACCTTCACGGGTACACTGAGTAATATTTGTCCTTTTAGAGTAAAGATATTCTTGAAAGCTTTAGCATTGTGTTCTCTAGTTACACCTACTTACTTATCAAAATTAAAACAAAAAGCTTATTAAGTTACGGATTAAATAACATTTACAATACCTGTGTTTGTAGAGGTAAAATGCAAACCCTGATAATATTAGAGCAAAGAATGGTACCAGGATGGCAGCTGCGACAGAACTGCTGTTTGTACCATAATAGTGATTTGAAAGGTCTGTGTCTGCACTTAAAGGACCTGAAATGAAACAAAAAGGGCAGAAATAAAATTCCTATGTTTTCTGTCTCACAGTTCTCTTTTTATTCAAGAATGAAAGAAAATTGTGTCTTGATAAAATAATTCTAATTAAAAACATGAAATAAATAGCATGCAGTATCATCGTATAAATCTTGATAACACTACTTAATAAGGTATCAACGAGGATTAAAATTATTTGAAAGCAGCATTTGGCAAGTAAACTAATTATGAACTATAGCTCTCATGATTCACTAATTTAAGAAATTTAAGGCATATAACTTCTGCAAAGAAAAAATTATTAATACTGCAAAAAGTATTCTATGCCTGCGGTCTTAATAATCAACTTCGAAACAAGAAGCAATGCAAGACCACGTCAAACATGGAAAAGGAACAGAAAACTGAGGTAACTGCTATTAACCACAATGGTTCTGCTTGGCTCAATAGCACTCCCAAGTCTGTGCACCTATGTGCATGTCCTGGCTGCTTTACAACCCGCCTTTAGGGGTGAGGAATGAGCATATTTTAGAGCCTCTGGCAGCTGTGCTTAAACTGGGATAAAACTGAGGTGCAGAGAATGCAAAGGCAGTCTCCTGTGGCACGGCCTCGCTGGGTTCCTGTTGTGGGCAAATAGACAACCCAGACTGTAAGGCATTCTGCAGAACCCATTTTTCCATCAGTATAAAGAGCAACATTGTTAAATTGCTTAAATAGGTGGCCAAATTGACAATTCAAATTGTGAAGGATGAAAAATAATTTTACAGTTAAAAATACAGAAAATTTTTGTAGAAAAAAAGATTATTTTGAGACCCAACTCCATGTTGCCAGTTTGAACTCACAGCTCTTCAGACAGCAATACATAGATCTTATACAAGGAGAATAGACCAGGACAGAGGGAAAGTGCAGCAAGGATGGCACTGGGACAGATATCTGTGCTTGATATTCTGGGATATTTTTGCTGATGCTAGAAGAGAAGAATAGGAGACACTGCTGTTTACCACTCAGAAGTGCTCCAACCCACTAGTACACACTGTCTCAAACACCAAACCTTCCTCATTGATGGCAACAGCATCAATCAGTCTTTTTAGGACTCTAGCACAGACCACTTACATAGCAAAGACACGGCCATTGTGCTGCTTTTAGCAGTATACTAGAATATTTTAAAAAGTTGCAAAACTGAGAAAGAAGCAAACAATTCTCCTATGATTTCTTACAGTTCAAGCTCAATGCAAAATAGGAATGAGGTAAGTTTTTGTTTTGTTAGATATTTTTAAAACTTAGATGTTGCAATTGCTAATATTATAATACATTTTATGCAATTCATTTTACAAAATGTATTAAATTCAAGGAATTAATTTAAATTCTCTTTAAAATTAAGACAGCCCCCCTAGAAATTTAAGTATTACCAGATTTGATCACTAAACATGAAAAATACTGTACTTCAACATGTTTCACTGCCTTAATCTTCTGTCACATTTCAGACTTCTGTCTATGCTTGTCTGCAGAACCAGAGAAGGCAAACCTCTTCAAATTAATAAACCTACTACAGTGCTAGTTGTGATCATGTTATGAGCTTCCTCATACTACTGTGGAGTATCTTAATTAACATTGAACTGTTTTAGAGTAGAACCAGTGTATTATAAAAATCTTTGGACTTTAGTAATCCAATATTTGTCCCAACACCCAAGGTGTGGAAGGCTTTTTGGCATGATTTTACGTATTTGTGTTGTATTGCACATTTACTGGACAATCTAAATTAATGACAGATAGAATCCACAGTTAAGAAAAGTTTAAGAAATGCTAATTTAAATGCTCCTTTGAATTTTTTATTGGTTAGAAAAAGTGACAGAAGTTAAAAAAACTGCATGCAGTTTATCACTGTCTTCATCCTTTACTGTCACAATCCCCAGCTGTTTTTCCAATTATTTTGAGTAATTAATAAAAAATATGGTAACAATCATATTCACTGCAGTCAGCTTATACTCAAAAAAAAGAAAATTAATATTCTAACTCTTGTTTAAAATTCCAACCAAGTACTGAAACAAAGAGAAATTTGTATGATCAACAAACTCTTTATATGTGAAAGCTACTACTCTGGCACATATGATAGATATATTTTAATGTATAAGTAATATGAAAATTATAAAATATCTAATCAGAATTCAGCTAAAAGAAAACAGTCGTTTGAAATTAATAAAAACCAATTCTTAGTAAGAAGATTTGGCATGGAATTTTTAAAAAAATTAAATACAATTTTTTTTTGTGTAACAACATTTAAAACTAGGCACAAATTTACATTTAGATAATGTCTTTCTAAGTTACCTCTGTTTGATAACTGAGTCACATTAAATACTTAGTACTCAAAACTCCTTTTAGAGATAATTGAATATTCTATATCTCTCATTTTCTAAAGTACCATATTTACGGTAACCAAGCTTGAAAATTTTAAGTGAAGTTTACAAGATTTAATTGGCATTGGAGAAGTGTTGACCAGCTTCAGACTGTGCCTTAGGTGTGCTTTTCATTATGGAAGAGAAACTTTGCTGCAATTCTGTATAATTTGAATTTATTCATGTATGAGACTCAATATAAGTTCAACCGTCTTGTTTACTTATTACAATCATTTTCAGAGCTGTTTGTGATTAAACATATCCTGACATGAATTTTGTATTTCTTCTGACAGCATTATCATAATGAGAAATGGGAAAGCCTATTGTACTGCTCTAATTTACATATTGATTGCCACCACAGCTAAAACTGGAAAAGTGGGAATATCTGCACACTAATAGCTGGGGTGTGTGGGGAGCAAAAGATAGTCTGGTTCACTTTTCATTTAAAAAGCCATACTTTGTCACTGGGAAACATGTTATTTAATAGAGGGATATTCAGTAAGATTATAAATGTTTTTTAAACATTTCACAGAATAACGGGGGTTTCTTCAGCCTTCTAAAACCAGCAGCTGTCAGGTGTAGTTCAAATTGTGATAATACACAGTGAAGTCATTATTGCGCAAACTGTGTACTTCTACCCTTTAGATGGTTACTGAGTTTTCTCCTTTATACATACTAGAAAATAATACTTTTTGTAAGAAAAGCACTTTTTTATAATTGTTTTTAGCACTTCTTTGTAACTGTTTTGAGCTTTCAGATGCCTAGCTCCTGTAACTCCTAGTCCAGGGAGTCTGGCACTGATATAGCATGGCTAAATTCTACTATAAGAACTGCTGTTGAAGTGGGAGAAAGTATGACAGTGAAAGCCATGCAAGATAAGAAAAGAATTACAGGTAGAAGTGTAAATTCTCAGACAAGGATGGTTAGCAGCGCAAGGATTTAAGAGAAAAAATACTGACAAGGAAAGCAAGTCAGAAGCTTCCAAGGGGGAAGAGAGGCTGGACCTTCTTCACTTGACTAATAACTGCCCGATAGCAAAGACTGTTTGGGTAACATATTGGGTGTGAGAAGTGTATTAATATATAGTCTCATAGCTCATTAGTCCTAGCTATCTATTTGTGCATTAGCTAATGCACAACTGTTTTGTACTCTGAAGCTGTGAGTATACTGTTTAGATGTAGAAACATCATTTCATTTCTTCATGAATGACGGAAGCTGTGTGAAATTCTCTGGAGAGGAAGGATAACACCTTTACAGAGTGAAATTTAAAATACACATGTCTCATGATGTTCAACAATTTCAAGAAATGAACATATATTTCATAGCCATTGATCTAATGTATCACAGATGCAAGTTAACTATTCATATTTCATATTTCATGTCAATATTTGTTATCTCAATCTAGATAAGCTAAAAAGGTACTCTGAAGAAATAAAAGGAAAGAGAAGTGGGTCACTGTATTTCCCCATAGGAAAGAAAAACAGGAAAATAATCATTTGGTGAAGTAAGCTTCTCTTCTCACAAAGTCCTCTTTTCATATAGTTTTAAAGGACAGTCCAGACTGGAATGAACAAGGGTGAGATTTTAGACTAAGCATCTTCTAGGAACTAGAACACGTAGTGCTGAGGCACAGGCACTCAGCAACTACAGAAACTGAACCTAGCTGCAGTCTCGCAGCCTTTAGAGACCAAGTTATTAAAATATAACAAACCAAACAAAAAGTCCTCAGCAATGACTGATTACTTGGTGGAACAGGTTAAATAATTTGGTGTCACTACTTGGGCCCCTTAAGCAGGCTCAGATACAGTTCTAATTCTTCTGGCAGACTGATAACAGAGATCTCTCTGCTGTATGGGTTATTCTCTAAGGCTACAAGCAAACAGAATTGCTTCTGAAAAAGGATAAACAGTACTCAGAAACAAAAGGTTTTTTTGTTTTCATGTCATTAAGTTCCAAGACTGGGCATATCCACTGAGCCTGGCCTTTCTCTAGTACTGTGTAATAGGGAATTCTTCATCAAATAGACTAGTCTTTCACACTTAACCAAGTGTTTCTCAGTAAATGCTGTTCTTTGCAATATGCTTGCAGGTGAAGAATTTCGTATTACATTATGTATGCACCCCTGCATGCATAGTTTATGCATACTTCTGGCTTAGTGTAAAGGCAGCAAATAATTTAACTTCCTGAAGAAATGGAAATATGTAAAGTCTTCAGCTGGAGGACATATAAGATCATTGCCTCAGCAGAATATTCATGAACACAATTTAAAACAGATTTAAAAAACCAAAGCAAGTTATCCTTGAATATGAGAGGGTACGGACAAATATTACGACCTGTGTTGTCTGGAAATTTGCTCTGTCCTTTTAGCTCTAGGAGAACAAGCGACCTATAGAAAAGCAGTGTCTATTTAGCAATCACATAAATCTTCTAAAATAGACACTATCTGCATTTGTAGTAAGCTCTCTGCTGAAACGCCAAAGCTGAAGATGAGAAGCCCTCAGCCTAGGAATACATGTGTAACTTGGACTCTTTGGCTCTCATATTGTAACTCTAAACAGTGATATGGACAATGCTTTCCACTACCGTAGAATACATCCTCTGGAGAATGCTGTAACTGATGAATTGTCATTCTGCTTATTCTTAATTTCACTGCTAAAACACATGGATCCAAACTGTCATTAGGTAGCTGGCAAATCAAGGAGAACTTTTTCGGCCTGGCTTAAGGAAAAAAAAACCACAAAACCACATACACACCTCAAACAAAACCAACAAACCATACCCACTCTGGTTTGAGATATTAAAGGCTGCTAAAAAACAGATGTTTGAACAAGTCTTGATGTTTTACTTTTACAGTATGTTTATTAAAATCTGAAAAAAAAAGTAATTTAGATATTACAGTGATAAGGATTACATGAAAGTACAAGGCAGATAAATATTCTGCCCCACCCAAGAGTTTACTCTGAAGACTGAAATTGTATTCAGATTCAGTAATTGTCAGTTCTTGGGTTGAGACTCTGAAGAGAAAGGTTTCCAGCCCTTGTGACTAAACATATATGGTACTTTGAGAGGTGGCCAGGATAAGCAAATCCATAGCATAACTGCTTATTACAGCAGTTAATAGAGCAAAGAAATATAAGGGAGATTTGGCAGAACTTTAAAGGGCATTGGGTACAGCATCAATGAAAACAAGCCATATCGGAACCAAGGCAATTTATAAAATGTTAGTACAGTTGGCTACAGATATATTGGCTAGGCTGTCTCCTCTTCCTGGCTGAGTACTCTGCTGTATATATACCATGCTTTGACCACTCTGCAGTAGTTCCAGGATAAGAAAATGCAGATGTCTACACTTGGAATTTGCCAAAACTATTTCACAAGTAAATAGTTCATGAATAAATGTCTTATTAGTTTTTACGAAAAAAATATTTTATAAGTGAAATAACTAGTTTTTAACCAGCTGCTGGAGCACTTGAGTCTGTAGCTGTAACATATACCTCAGTCACTCATTTCATATTTTTGACAGCAAAGTAGAATTCTATCTAAATCACATACATTCTGAAAACATCCACCAGCAACAAGCTCTCTCCAAATAACACTATTAAAATCAGTGTTGATTCTGTCCTTCCAATTTCCTATATGAGTCTGACTGCAGTTTATACATTTGAGCAGAAAATGTCTTTGCATTGTTTTTGCATTGCATGACACCCCTGTTACTTTCAAAAAGACATTCACAGAAAAGCAAGCAGTTTCAATGGGTTTGTCTTTAAGAGCATTCTGTAGTCATCTTATTAGGTTGCCATACTGGAAGGTATGAGAGAGTAACATGTTAAGCAGAATTAAGATGGGATTTGAACTGTGTATTTCAAACATGCATATTATACTATACTTTATCATACTAATGGCATGAAATAAACATTTGCTTCAGCTAGATAGCTGAGTCATTTGTTGAATTCAGTCTTATGAGACCCCAAATGATAATACACAATAAAGCTCTACAAATGTATATACCTTGTCTTTGGAGCATAAATTTTCCAAAGTCTTTTCCATGTATATCACCTTGATAGGTAAAAACACCTCTTTCAAGCCCTGAGGATACCTAGAATATGTTGAAACAAAAGAAAGATTTCTGAAACAAATAAATAAGAATGTTTAGCTATTTGTTTTTCTAACTTAGACATCTGGAGCCCAGATTTTCACTTTTATGCTTTAAAATATTAGTGAACTGTCTATGCTTATACAATAGTAATAATTTTAAGTTTGCAGCAATATTAAACAAAGTTTCAGAATAACATCTGGAATGACTTCAAAATATCTGATATATATAGCTGGGTTTTAAAGTTCTTCAGCTGGCATACATACAATTGAATTAATATACAGATATGGAAGTCCACTGAATTGCCAGATTTTAAATCGTCTTCCATAGAAAGCATCATGAGGCACAAAGGACAACTGCAAAGAGTAAAATAACATTCTTTTTCTTCAAGATTAAATGTAATTTTATTACAGTGAACTATTTATCATACCAAGAAGTACAATATTTCTAAAGGGAAAATTCCACCCTCATCTACCTTCCCCCTAGTAAACTAAAAATTCTAATGGGTGTGTGACAGATAGAAGTTTGTATACATATTTTAAAGAAGAAAAATAATGTGATCTCTATTCCGACATCTAGAGTGCTACATTCCCTATTTGTAATCTAAAAAGTTGGACAGCTATATAGGAAATCATAAATTACTTAAGACTTTAACTCAACAAGCTTTATCCACAGCAGTCTGGTTACTTACATAACCATCTAGTGCCCAGTTGTCATTTTCAGACTTGCTTACAAAAATGTCACTAGGTCCTTTAATCTGAAAAACTTTCAAGAGCAAATGGGCTTCTTCTTTCTTGTAAACACCTATTACATAAAGGAGGCAACAAATGCCTTTTAAACAATTTTTCAACCAGTTTGCTCATATATCATTTCAAAGCTAAGTATATAGATTTAGAACTAAAATATTTAGTAGAAAACATTCTGTAATAGCAGAATTTTATAACCTGGAAAAAAACCAAGCTTTAAAATGCTGTAATAACAGGATCTTATTTTACTGATTTTTTTTTTTAATTGATATCACGTCATACTTGATAACAAGATGCAAAGATTATTTTATACTGTTTAATTTTATACAAATATGGGCAAGAATATCTGTCTTTACATACAGTATTTCAGTAATTCTGAATACAGATAAATTCCTTGCCTGAAATTTTCTTGAACTAGAAAAATTTGGATTTTACTTACATCACAACAGTATATTGCTACAGTAAATATCGACAGTGTAGTGAAAGAAAACTTGCTGTTTGGCAGCCAATAACTGAAATTCTCTCTGAACTCCTGACCTTAAAAGGTATTGATTGCTGATAATGCTCTTTTCAAATATAACTGTGATCAGAGGCTAAATCAGAACTTTACAGTCAGATTAGCAGAAAGGAACGCACAATGTTGATTAATAGGTATGCATAATCACTAAGTTATTTACTGATCTGTGCCTATTTTTAATGCAGAGTAAACTTTTAATATAGTTTAATATAGTATAGCCATTATTAAGATCGTATTGTTTTAAAGCAGGAATTAACTACTATTGAATAATGGAGCTTTTAAATGGTACGGTTCTTAAAATGCCTATACACATTTCGTCTGCCACTTCAATATTACTTGGGAGTTCGACACATCAATACTATGCAACAGTCTCAGACAAAAAAACCCTATCTCAATATTTATTTGAAATGTAAGGGGAAAAATAGATGGGTGACCGCATATAAACTGACTGACATTGGTGCAGACCATTACATTAGGACATTTCCTTTTGCAAAATAAGCAGAAAAATATTTTTAGTGAAAACATAAAGCTTTTGTTTCATTTTGTGTTTGCCATAAAATACAACAGAACTGAACAGATGAAAAAAATTAAAACAACAGCTTTTTTAACACCAAATTCGGAACCTACCTGATAGTTTGAGTTGTATGTTGGATGCCTCAATGAATGTGGCATTCACTTTGCTGCTTGTAGTATTGAACCAATCAACAGTCAGAGTAGCAGGCTGTCTTTTTCCTAAATATTCATAAAACCCTTTCCACAGTGAATTTATAAAAAACACATCTGAGGGAACTAAATAAAAGTGAGCAAAAAAGAAACAAAGAAAGGAGTAAACTACAACAAAATAACAATCTTTATAGTCATACTTATGTTCTTTATTTTTTCTATTACAGCATCAATCCACTGTTCTAAGGAGGTACTATAGTAAAAATTTTACAACGGTAAAGAGAATACATCTATTGACCTTTCCACACAATTGCCTATAATATACTACACCTGTCCATTACCATATAAGTTCTTAAATAACCTCACACTTCACAGCTTGTGTGCTTCAGTGAATGTCCTCAAGACTATGAATGATAACGGACTCTTCCCCTAAAGCCCTGTAGCTTTAAGGTATGATGAAAAAAAGGAAAACTATATTCTTAAGTCAGGAATTCCTGGAAGGAAACACTCTCTTAGCCTATTCCTTTTGTTTCATGAATCTATTAAAGCAGCAGCATGTGTGATTTTCAACTGAATATCAACTAAATATTCAATTGAATTCACTGAATTCCAGATATAGTTTAGCACAAGTGTTTCATCAGTCATTTTTTAGATTCCACATCTTTTCTCCATACAATATTACTGCACCTGTGAACAATGAAGTTGCCAGAGCAGGGAACATTTTTGGTTTAAAATACAGGTCTGTTTCTCAAAAACTACAGTTGGAATAATCTCAAGTAAAAAACTATAAAATGAAGCATGAATTACAGGAAGAAATATATGTATTTGGGTCATTTATTTTATGTTATTGGTATTTTTCCTCTATACAGATAAAATAAATTATTTACAGGTCATTAAATGTTGTATTTTAAATATTTGGCTAAATCACCAGCAGAGTAGAAAAAGACTCTCATTCAACACTATCTGTAATATTAACATTAATTACAAAGGAAATACAGAAGAGAAAAAAATTCTTAGGTGAAGATTTTATGTCAGATATATTTCAGGGTGCTAGTTGTCTTGAACATACATTTCTCCCCTGCACATGGCTATATTTCTGCCATATACTCTACTGTCATAAAATTTTGGGAAGAATTCCTTCAAACATGATGGTTTAGTTAAATGAATGTTTAAGTTGGCCAAAAGAGACCAATCCTCCTCCTGGCCAGGCAGCACTCAGTGTTTCCTTGTCCCTGTCAGACAGCTTTTGACAAGTGAAAATAGGCTTTTTTCCACCTAGTTCTAAGCTTTTTCAGCATTACAATTTACGAAGCAAAGCTCAAAGAATCAAAATAAAAGTTCATAAAAAGAACTGTTTAACCAATCACATGATATCTTGACAAAATGGCAGCCCTAGCAACTATTATAATTCACCCTTACTATCCATGACCACTACACATGATACTTGCTAAATAGCTTAAGACTGATATTAGAAGTGTTTCACACTCTTCTAACTAAACTTCTAAAATATATTATTGGATTATTTGGATTTTCTTAAACTCTGAGCACATGTAAAGGCAGCTGTCTATGTTGAAGAAAATTTATCAATGTAAGTATCCTGTGTATCTAATTAGAATAAATTCCCTGGATATTTTTGCCTCAACCTAATCACTGATTGCAAAAATGAATCAAGAAGAAACCCAGGTCAGTAACAGCATGTATTTCCACAAAACAAAGTGACAGGCAGTACATCTGGAAATCTGATGACTGATTAGCTGTTGACTGTTTCTTAATCATATTATTACACTTCTTAGTATGCATTTCATAAAGAGAAAAGATAATAACTTCTTCAGTGCTTTTTGCCTCCAAATTGTGCAAAAGCCAGAAGCAAACATTCAAGCTCAATGTGGTATGACTTGAAAACTTCAGTAGCATGTTGTCTGTACCATCACTGGATTACAAATGAGTAGAGATCCACTATATGGCTTTGAGTACAACAGCTTCAAAGAATCTTAAGTGCTCCCTTTCCAAAGCAAAACTTACTGCAGGACTAGGGCTTTACATCAGGTAACCTAAAATTAGTACTAAAAATCCGAAGCATTACATTTCTATTGGTATCTCACAGTCCTTAGAATTCATATATTTGCAGAAAATATATGCATTCTGTAAATGGCCTTTCAGACTTTTCCATATATATTTCTCATTGCTTTGCTACAAGTGACATACAGTAAACTTGAAACCTGACATTTTAAAAATATATTAAAATTATTTTTATTTGTCTTTGCTTTTAATTAGAATTGTGTGTCTGAGGCTCTTCTCATGAAGGTAAACATCTAGTATTACTGGTATGAACCTAACAGGTACTATATAAGACTTATACAGGAGCAGATACCGTACTTCTTTTGTCACATTCAACTTCTTCAGTATCTAGTTCCTCTAACCACTCTAACTGTCAATTATAGCTGTTAATCTCTGCAAAATTTTACCACTGATTCAGTATTTACAGAATTTGCACTTGCTGCAGATTGACAGAATCAGCAGGGGAAGAACATATATTTCTGCTTCCTCAGTCATGTTTTTGTAAAAGGTTAAAATACAAGTGCTGCAGTTCCATGGATGCTGTTGAGGAATCGGAGTGGCTCTGACCCAGTTCTGCTGAGCCCCTGCAATGCCCCTGCCTTTCCCACCCACATGGGCAAATGCAGAATGAGAAAAATGAACTGGATATTGTCTGTCATACTAATACTGCACCAACTGCGGATTCTCCTCAGAATGTGACAAATGGGGAAATCCATGGCCACTCATTAAAACAGCTTCCTAACTATTTTTGCAAAGATTATACAAAGCAGTGAGAACCATGGGAACCAGAGTATTGTACTTCTTGAACTTCACATAGGTAATGTGAGAATTCTTTAGTTGCAACTTATACTAAATTACAGTTTACGGTACTGCAAAAACGAGAGTTACTTTGCTTATGAAAACATTAACTCTGGCAAAAAAATAGCAATTTAATAAAAAATAATAAGCATAATCTGTATTCAGATATCCAAAGGTAGGAAATCAGAACATGAATCTATTCTGTTATAAAAACTCCAGTTTAGCAATTTTAGCTTCATTCCACTTAAAATTCAGATAGCAGCAAATGGAATTCTACCAAAAGCCAAGATAACCAGTTAAAGAAAATGCTCCAAAATACAGTGTTCTGTACTAAAAAGAATTCACAATTTTAAAAGACATAATAATAGTGCAGACTTTGTTTTCAAAAACAGTTTAAAATTTTCCTTGTTAATTACTTTCATTCGTTACACAGTTTCAGTTCTCTGCTTATTAATATTGGCATTTTCAAACAAAACATTTAATTTTTTTTTTAAAAATGCCTTTCAAACAGTACTTAGTTATCAAAAGTAGTTATAAGGGACACGATGGGGTGTGAATTGATACGGATGTTCTACATAGTTATTAAATTTGGAGACTTAGTCTGCATTTTAATTTGGCATTGAAAAAATCTGTGTGGTAGCAGATTAATCCATACCTTAGGTGTTCAGTGAGGTGAATCCTCCAATAAACGAAGACTCTATATTAATTATAATGAATGCACATTACAACCTGCTTTATTGTGAGTCTGGAGAAGTAATGCATCTGAGAAGCTTATTTATGGTTTTGTCTGACACTCTCACTAATAAACTCAGCATTGGTTAATTATTAGCAGAAATACCTTTTTATCCCATCTACTCGACAGAGTCCTTCTGTGAACCGCCATGAGTGTGAAAATTAATTTTATTTTCTATGTAGCTTGCTAAAATTAAGAATATAGAGTTGCAAGATCATTTATTTGATGAAAACTCTACTCATTGTTAAATAAGTCAGTAAAAAAAATATAATTAGGCCTTTCATTTTCTGAAAATGATTGAACCTAAAAAGATCTACATCAAGGATTTCTCAGATGCATTTGTCTATTTTGTCACTGGCAGGAGGAAAAGCTTAACTGCACACACGTTTGTGAGGAGGCAAAGAAAAACAGCAGTAATGTTTTCCTTCTGCTGGTGGTCAACACAGTTTAGGAAACCCTGTCTTAGAATACCTTAAGAGTTTCCATGAAATAAAGGCCATCAAAATTTCCAAAACTGGTTTTTGTTTTTGGGGTTTTTTTGTGGTTTCTTGCAACACGTGCAATGTAAAGGGCATAACTTTGACCGAACCCAATCCCTGCAATTATAGTCTACACTCATTATAAGGCTCTCCATTATAGCAATCTCTCTGATATAAAACTACATCAACTCTGGGTTTTGTGCATATGTGCTTTATCTTTTTGGCTTGATGGTGGTTTTCTGTGCAATTCACAAAATATGTACTGTAGAAATTAAAAAAAAAAAAAAGTTGTTTGGGAAAGATTTCATACAATAGGTTTTACATGGCACTTGTTATTATGAAATACCTCAACATTTATATTCCTTTGAAATGAGTAATAAAAAGTTAAATATTGGAAACAGTTTTATTATCCATAACAATCTAGGGTGTAAATCAATTTAATTTATTTAGATCTAAAACTCTTCTTGTATACAAACCTGGAGTTTTAGTTATTGTTTCATTAACTTCTCTCACTCCTTTACCTACAAGTAAAAAGACAAATTATCATTTTCATGAACATATTTGGTTGTTGTTTTTTTTTTTAAATAGAATGCTAAAACAATGCCTGATGGATGCAATCATCTGTTATCCAATGGAGCCATGTTTCAAACAGAAATAACTGGTCTTGAATACCTCAGATGTTCAGATCTATACACTTAGACAAAACAATCAGAAAATAATTTAGGTAAACAACATTTTTACTGTGGGAAATTGTCTGGCTAGCCAAGTATTTCATACATTTAGGCCTAAAATTTTTATATCAGTCCCAGTGCTATAAAAGAGAGCCTTATAGAGGGGACAAATGCTATATCTAATTATGAATATATGTGAGTATATTAAATATAGTAAAAATTGTCTTTATAAAGATTGATACATTTATGACACAAACTAGCAAAACGCAGACAGGTGGGTTAAGATGACGAATCAGACATCATGGGAAAGGATCATAATCAGTGTCATTTGCTATCTTTATGGTACACTCAGCAGAGCTATGTCCACTGACCCCACATTAAGTTCTGGATCCATATTATTAGCCTCTTTAAAAAGTCTGATGTCCCATAGGAAGATTTGGTCTTGCATGTTCTTTTCTTTGGGAGCAGAAATTCACTGATTAAGACTGACCAAGTGCTAAGAAAGCACAAAAAGCATGGAGCACTCAAGGAGAATTATACCTAAAGACTGTAAGCCAATAAAAAAAGAATTCTTGCTTATAGAAACCTTTTCTGCTCTTTCATTATTTAAAAAAAAAAAAAAAAAATTAACAAAAACCATATAAGATAATTTATGTTGAATTATTAATTATACAGAATCCATGAAAAATCACCCTTTAGGGAACTAGAATAAGAAGGTAAATTTTTATGCATAGAACATATGTCTTGACAATGTTGAAACAAAGAAGTCTACCCATACATTAATAGAAAATCAAATATTGTTCAAATATCAAATCTATTTAGCGTTCATTAACATATTGAAATTAAATATCATGTGGCAAACATCTTTCCCATGGCATCTGACTGTTTTTCCTTTATTCACATTCCAAATATAATTTTGTTTTATTTTTCTGAATTGGGAACTTATAGCCATGTTTATGCACATGTGAAGAGTAAATTTAGCCCTCATAACTATATACCTAGAGCTACTCTAGCAAAACTGTATGATATTTACAGGGATATAAATAAAAGTGGAATCTGGTGCAAAGATGCATTTAGGTTTTTTATTTTATTGTTTATTTTTATTTTAGAAGAACTTAGAAAGCATACCTGAATGAATCTAAAAGCCAAGCTATGAAATAACTTCTTTTGTTCCTAGCGGAATATCATACATTAAACACTGAATACATTGAAAAACCCTTTAGAACTGTGACATAAACACAGTCAAAAGTAATACTTCATTTTGTTCAGGTTTTGTTTGCTGTTGTTAGGGGTAAACTTATGTATGTGTGCCTGTGCACTTAGACAGACATATTCCCAGGATTTCCTCTGTGAATTCTAGATGCTACTTTGATTTCTTTACTCTTTCTTTCATAAAGTAAAAGCTGTTGTGTCACATGCATCTTAAAACAGTAAGTGGAAAAAATTAACATTACTATATGAAACATAAATGTCAAGGGAAATAAAATCCAACCAAGTAGGGCCCAACATATCACTTGAGTAATGACTTACTTTTACAAATAGGTGATTTTCCTGTCCATTTCATATCTGGTTTACATGTCCGATGTTCTGATCCACCAGCAAGAAAAAATCCTGGCTGACAGGTATACACCAACGTATACCCTAAAGTAGGAAGATCTATCGCTTTCACATCTACATGTGCCGGTGTCTCTGGCTGCCTGCAGGCATGAGCTGCAAAGCGGTTTTTTAGAGTTAGAAAAAGTGGTGGTAAATAGTTTCAATAGAATTAGAGTATATAATTTGAAATAAATGCAAGCCAACTTACTTCCTTTTATTATGTAAACTTTGTACATCTTTAGAAACTTAAAGATCACAAAGTAGATATTACTTGTAAAAGTAACACTGAGTGTATAGTTTTATTATTGCGTGAAGATGGAAATTATATTATCATATATTGTTAAACAATACACCAAAATTAAATCACGATACCAAACAGAAAAGAGTTAAAATGAAGGAAAGCACATGCTATTGCACATGGTGCAATGACTGGTTCTGTGACCTATTGTACTGCCACAGCTTCAAGTATCACTTCCACTCAATGTTTTGAAAAGTACCGCGTAGTTATTGTGCTAAATAAATTCATCATAACTTTCAACTGAAATAAAGGTTCCACAGGAAGGTTTTGTCATAGTACACTGATTATAACAGATATGGCTGCTCAGTATGCTTCTTTCTCTGTGCTCCATGGTGTTAACTTATAAAAACCCCAAAATAACTTGAAATAGGGTAAGAATCTAGGGTAATTTTAATTAACTTTTAGTAGATCAACGTGTTTTAATAGAATAGTTATTTGATGTCCTCTAGCCCATACAGAGATATAAATACACTAATCATTTGCATACCCATGCATAGTCTAGAAAAGATGAATTTTGCTGAGTTGTAGTTTATGATTCCAAAAATATGTGCCAACAAAATAGCTCCATGCATATTTCAGGCCACTTTAAGTTCTCTATCAATCCAACACACACACAAAAAGCCTAGACTAAGTTAAAACAACCTTATGCATTGGGTTAATGAGGACAGATTTTTTGAGTAAGACTGATATAGAATTTTTGTGAACTTCATGAAAAAAACCCGCTGTATATTCTTACTTCAAATTAATATCCCAAGTATATCTTTGGTCTTAGAATAAGATATAAAAAGCATTTAAAAATACTGTTTTACTACAAATTTCCACATGCATCACTTTGTAAATCTTTTAAAACTGCACAATATTTCAACTCATTAGACAAGAAACCAGACTTACGAATGCATTCAGACTGTATGCCACTCCAAGTTAAGTTTGCAAGACACGAACGGGTGGTAGATCCCTGAATATGATAACCTTTTCTGCATCTGAAAAAGACTGTGCTCCCAACCTAAGGATCAAACCAAAATATTAGATAAAAAAGGTATCCATCACATGTAGTCAGATTCCATACCAAGACAGCAGTAAGCTACTAGAGAGATTTTTTTCAAAAATAGAAATATCCTCTTTTTACTGTTCCTAGAGGTTTTTTTAATGTGATGAAAAGTTTAAGCAATTGCTCTTTTGTAACCTTATTTCAAAACGGTAAGTGGGAAAATATTAACAAGGCTGTGCACAAAGAAAAGAACAACACTTGTACATTTCAGCTTATAAGTCAGTGTAACAGAAGCAAACTAAATGACTCAGATGTCTCTCTTTCCTGTACATCACTGCATATGGTTCGATAGAACTTGACCATAAAGTCTGTTTCAAAGGTTTCTCGTTGTGTGACTGTCCTGGTGTCGGCTTGAATAAAGTTAATTTTCTTCCTAACAGCTGGTATAGTGCTGTGGTTTGGATTCAGGATGAGAATAATGTTGATAACACACTGATGTTTAGTTGTTGCTAAGCACTGTTTATACTAAGTCAAGTACTTTTCAGCTTCTCCTACTGCCCTGCCAGCAGAGGCTGGGAGTGCACAAGAAGCTGGGAGGGGACACAGCCAGGACAGCTGAGCCAAATGAGCCAAAGGGGTATTCTGTACCATATGTCATGCCCATTGTATAAACTGGGGGGAGCTGGCTGGAGGACTGCATCCTGGGGATTGGCTGGGCATCAGTTAGGAAGTGGTGAGAAATTGCATTGTACATCACTTGTTTTTATATTCTATTATTGTTATTATTGTTATTGTTGTTGTTGTTGATGATGATGATGTTGTTGCTGTTATTTTCCCTTCCTTTCTTGTCCTATTAAACTCAATCCATGAGCTTTACTTTTTTTCCCCCAATTCTCTCCCACATCCCACGGTGGGGGAAGGGAGTGATTGGGTGGCCATGTGGTGCTTAATTGCCAGCTGGGGTTAAAGCATAGAGTGACTTGACTAAATATGTTTCTTAAAAGGAAAAAAGAAAAAGAAAAAACTATGAAGAACTGTTTCATCTTCAAATAAATTCACTAGGGAAGACTCCAGGCCACAATCTCTTACACTGCATTTCTTACTATAAACTGCCTAAGTTTCACTTGAGATGTTCAACTGGCTGAGTGATGTTATGGAAAGCCTTCCTATGATCAACTGTGATATGACCTTTCTCAGAAGAAAAGGTAAAGTAACTGAGAAAACTCACTTTAGACTTCCACTGAGAATAGAAAAGCATGGAAACTGGATACAAAATTGCATGTGATGAAGAATTTTCATAACATATGAGAGGGAGATTTTGTGGAAAGTTCTAGTAAAATGGACTTATTGATGGTATTGACAAAAGTAACCAGAATACAACTCCAGGCCAAGATATTAAAGGATGTGGGGCTGATCAGTAAAGCATTGCTTTTGTTTTTGATAAAACATCTTGGCAATAAATATGATCAGATGAAATGAAAAAAACCCACAAAAACTAATATTATTTGAAATTATGTGACTTATTAATAAAGTAACATATCACATGGACAAATGCAAGTAAGTTGCAAATGAGTAGTGATCAATGCATATTAACAAAATAGCTTGCAGGTATATAAATGCAGATAGATCTACACTGCAATTATCATAGAAAGACTTCAAAGGACATTAAAAATTGGCAGTTATCTCCAAAAGTGGCTACCTGTTAACTATATACTCACTTACATAAAACCAGACTATCATGATAGAAGATCAGCAAATGCAACACCAGTACTTCCTGAAGTGGCTTGGGAAATTCACTGGCATTTTTAAAGGTCAAATTACTGATACAGCTTTGTAGACTTATTTCTTTATAGCTATTTTAAAACATATTCATCTCTCTATCTTGCCAAGGACACGTCTGTTGCAGAGACTAGCACAGAGCATGGCTCGTCTTGACTCTAAGTGATCTTGCTTCTTGTGAAATTGCCAATTCTGATATCAGTAAGTAATGATGAGCTGCAAATCTTTCCTCACTGACCCAAAAGATCAAGCAGAAAAAAAAATGTAGTTACAGAGTTAATTTCCTTCTCGTTTTACAGGTAAAAGCAAAAATTAAAGGGGTGCATTCTCTGCATAGTACTTGGATCAAAAATACTGGAGGCATTTGCAACAGTCACAGCACAGCGAAACACAAAAGGCACAAAATTAATAGGGCAAGGCAAGATGCTGGTAGGTAGGGGAAAACCCTTCAAAGATCTGCTGCCTGTTATCATGCCTTTCTGTAAAGAGGAAAGACTGTTAAAAGCTAGTTTATAGAAGCTTGGCTAAATTATACAAACAGGAAGACCCACTAATTGCATATGTCAAAAAAAAAAAAAAATCCGCTTCACTAGCAATTGGAGAGAAGTCTACATCTTGTTGTACCCAAGAGCGATCTGAGATTCAAAGCACATACTTGAGAAAGACTAGATACAGAACAGATGAAGACCTACTGTTGCCTCTAGAGGTGAACGGAAAGAGAAAATTAGCCTTCATATTCAACAGACAATAGAACAGTGAATTGACCAGAACAATTCTGATAGTAAAGACAACTTGTGAGGCAGAAAAAAACCACAAAACCATGATGAAATCAGGTGCAAAGATTAGAGTTGTTTTTGAAGTGATGATGGGGACAGGTACAGGGTCAAGATGAGACAACAGACAGGAAGGCAACTTCACCTATTGCTAGAAGAAGCAGCACCTTAGGGGTGAGGCCACAGAATATGGCTAGGGGAGAAGTGCCTTGGCATCTGCAAGCGAGGCAGGAACAGAAGGTGAAGAAAAGAGCTGACAGCCAAAGCAACTGCAGGCAGCAAAACTGCGGGAGAGGGAGGGGTACCAATACCCAGAAAAACTTACAGAAAGGACTTCTTAAAAAACAGGTTTACTAACTTGATTGTAATACCATGTGGCACGCTACTCTAGGTTCAAAAATAAGCAGGAAACCCAAACAGAACGTATTTTAGATTCCAATCACAAATATCTATACCTGAAGAATCTATCCACATGAGGTTAATCAATCTATATAATGACCATGGACTGGTCATTGTTGCATCTACTTTTATTTCCTTAGTCACTTTTCTGACTGTCAGTTGGCAAGCTAATAACCTATGAGGAATCTGGAAAGTAGAGAAAAGACATTCATCACAGAGAACGTGGATTCAACACATTGAATAATTTTATCTTCTCTGACTGAATAAAACATAACATGAATTGCTAATTTAGTCAAGCCACTTGCTGACTTTTTTTGTCAAGGACTACATGGCCTTTAGATGAGACAGGTCTTTGGTTGCTAGGTATTTGCTGACTATTCATCAATGTATGAAAGAATTATGATCATAAAGCAAAGTAATTATATCGTGTCATATCATATTAGGTAATCAATTTATAAATAGTCCTTGCTACTGAAGTCTCCTAAAGGATTGAACACATGATATATTGCAAGGTTAGAAGTTCTTTCTTTAAGCTGTATGTTTAAAAAAAAAAAGAAGGTTGGAATGGAGGATGAGTATTTATTAAAAAGGAGCAGAAATTTCCTAAGGTTTACATCAGACATTTAAGACTACACATAATTTAATATATTTGTAATTATTAAATGCATCTTCATTTTAGAAAGCTAATAAATAAAAGAAAGAATTACCTCATAACCTCTGGAACTGTTTTGTATTCCAAAATGTGGAGTACCAGGATCTGTGCATGTATTGTGAGCTGGATCTAATGTAAAATGTGAAAGACAACAGATATTATTATGGTACGGAAAGAGTACTCTAAAATTGCAAAGATTAAGTCATTTCATCAGTATCTTGTGATGACAAGAACTTAATTTTTTATGGATTGTGTGTATTTCTATATATCACATTTGTATTTCCAACTAATTTTCCAAGATAGATCACAGTGATTTGTTTCAGTAGATTGCCATTATTTAACAGTGGTTTTTTTGCAGGTATCTTTGTGTAGACTTTAGAGTTAGGATTGCATTAATATTTGCTAAGCTTATCCTTTTAATCCTTTTTGAATACATAGTATATCCCATTATTCACAATGCAGATGGAACATATAGGGAAATCTGTTTCTTCTCTTCTTTCCCAATGAATAGATTAATGATTAAGTTAGATTTCTAAAAATACCCCAAACCCCAAAAAACCTCAAACCTAAACCCAACCTGCTTTCTTATAGCAAGTGAAATACTTAATTTTTGATAGATTTTTTTTTTTAGATCACCAGGAAAACAAGTTTCCAATGGACTACTGCCTCAGTTGTTGCTGGAGAATGAAAAGACAGTATTCCCACAAAAAAAGGTATGCCAACAGAGAGTAACTAAATATCTGATGACCGGGTTCATGAGTGTAATTTAAAGCATCCTGAAACTATTTTTGATTCATCAATGTCCACTTCACATTCTGATGGTGTATTTGGTTTGGGGTTGCCCAGTCACATCCACCAGGTAGACAGCACAGGACTCGATCCAATGGATCTTCCTGTACTATGTGATTCCCTCTTGGCAACCAGGTCTGCTTTCGTGCTGACACTGCATTGCAAAGAATGCAACTTGGGACTACATTTCATCTATAACCATTTTTAGTTTTTTGTAGAGGGAAAACTGAACTTATCATGTACAATAATGTCATGTGTCATTTCACTGTTGGTCAGCTTCCATTTTCAATGTTGATCATCATTAGAACATAACAATTCAACTGGACTGATATTTACCAAAGGCTTCAAAATTTAGGTGGATGTTGACCTCACATGTGAGAATAAAAACCAAACAAGCTCCTGACCTTGGACTGCTTGAACAGCTCAAGAACTTTTTATAAATTACCACCAGCTGGAATGCTGTTGCTAATAATAGATATAGGAATCTCAATTGACTTTTTAAGAAATGTCTCCTCTGAAGAAACAGTGGGGAAAAAAAGAAGAATTGTCAAAGTATTTTAAGGAAATTATCACTATCCAGAAATAGAAAAGCTTATCATCATTTGCCATCATATGGTACTTCTAGGCATAGTTGTGGGTACCGTTCACTGATCTTAACTTTCAAATTGCTTAACAATGGTACCTGTAAATATTTTAGATGGTCTAATATTTTCCTTTTACGATAATATAAAAATTATGACATAAAAGAAAAGCTTATGTCTTTGATGCAGTATTTTCCATGTACTTCTATATTATGCCATATAAAATATAAATAGAAATGTCATTATGACATTTTCAAATTTGATTCTTCACAACAGACCTCCAATTTAGCTTTTGTAAACCTTCTTGCCTCTGTTACAATACATAGATATAAGATGGATTGCCCAGTTCATAAAAACTATTGATAGAAGGAGTTTTGAATTTGTATCAAAGAACTGCATTCAGTGTTAATGTCTTAATTTACAAATACAGGCTGCTTTGAACAATCATGCTTACCACCTTTTCCCAGGTTGCCCACTCCAGGTTTTTCCACATAGCAAATATCTCAGCCACAGCAAAATATATAAATGGGCTACAGGCTATATCTGAATGTGCTTGCTTAGAAATATCGAAGAGAATTTTTCTATTATAACACCAAAATAACTTTCTCTAGGAAGTCACCCCAAGTTGGATAAAATTCTGATGTCAGTGGGAGTTATGGGTGTCCAGCATTTCTTTCAGTTTGATTATGTAACCTGCTAAAAGCCTATCACTTGCACATCAGTCAATGAGAAACTGATAGTATTTGGCAGTTTATCAGAATTTCAAAAGATCAGACCTAGCATGCTTCATCCTTTTGAGCTGTACAAGCCACTTTCACAAAGTCCAAATGCTTATTGATTTAGGATTGATTCTGACAAATGCCCTTAACACTCCAGTGACAGAATGTGATCTTTAATCTGCCAAAGTCTTCTGTGTATCTAAAAGAATCTAAAAATAGATGGAACAAATCTATGTGCTTGCACTTACTCACATTCTGCACTTCCAGCAGACAAGTAATCATGTAAATTTACAAATTACTTCATATGTGATTGTGTTTATCCTAAAATTTTTATACTCAAAATACAATCTTATTTATCTAGTCCTTTTTATATTACACAGACATTTTCTACATTCGGAAAGCTAATTGCTAAATTTATGATAGTGTAATGGTTTATCAAGAACATCCTCAGTAGAAACAGCATAAGTAGTGGTAGTTATTACCAATGCATGTTGGCTGAATTCCACTCCAAGTACCATCTGCTTGACAAAATCTTCTTGAAGAGCCTATCAGAATAAAAGGGGGTCTGCACTGAAAGGTAACTTCAGATCTGTAGGTGAAACTTTTTCCATTGAGGCGTCCTTCTGCTGGAGTACCAGGATCACCACAAAACACAGCTAATATGTAAAAAAGGAAAGAAAAAAATGTTATTAGAAACTGCATTTGCTTCAACTGAAGTATTCTACATTGTTTTATGTGCAAGTCAGGCATATTGCATAGCAGTGCAAATGCTATGTTCATTTATCTGTGTAGGATTGTAGCTTAGATTCTTGACAGTAATTTAAAATTAATTGTCACTGTTGTAGTTACTATAAGCATAAAACTTAACCTGGAAAAATAGACCTTTTATTTGAGACACTTAAATGCTGATTAGATTTGAATGACAATGTAAACCCAAAGTAGACAATGCTATACTGTAATGCTTCAAAATGTATTCAGTTTTCACATCAGTCACCCTCAGATGGGGCTGGAAATTTTTGCCTTGAATAAGTAAAAGCAAAAATGTTTGTCAGAGTCCTGACAAGATTTCAAGCACTGAAACAGAGGAGTTGACAAACTTAGAAGAAGCTGAAAAACACATACAAACAAGATATGAGGGTACGTACTCGCCTTCAGGAAAGAAAAAAGAATTTAGAAAGGAGAGCAAGGCTATGAGCTTAAGGGTTAGGATCCTTGTTTTCACCTGTTAATGGAAATGGAAACAAGGAAGAAAAAAGGAAAAGTGTAAGGGAGAATTTTAACTATGCTCACCACAAGTCAAATTCAGAACATTCAAAAAGATTATCAGTAAGGCAAACGGTGATGGGTCCAATTAGGTAATAAGAGATGGAGGTGACTTCTGGGGAAAGGAAGAAGACCATGACCTTAAATGGGCACAACTACTCAATTTCATAACAAGGTATGCTTATCAGAAGAAGGAGGGCGAATCCTGCAGCAGTCCATATATTGCCTGATCTAGCTGAGTCCTTTTTAAACTGTGAGAAACACCTGAGACAACTGATTGTAGCTCTGTTGAAGCCCAAAACAACTGTACCCTGAAAACTTACGCAAACATTGTGGGATGTCTCCCCGCCAAATTCCTCGACCCTCACAGGAGAGAATAGCTGTGTTAGATAGCTGATAGCCTTCTGCACAGCTGTAACTCACACTGGCACCCCAGCGATAATCAGATCCTTCCACTTTCCCATAGAGTACTGGTGGAGGGGGGCCACAGGTAATAGCTGTGTCACAAAAAGAAAAGTTATCATTTCAAGACTTTATAGGGTTTAGGAGAATGCAAGAGAATATCTACTCATACTTCTGAAGCTAAAAAGAAAAATATTTCATGCTGCTCACTTCATTTCTGTGTTGACAAAACAGCCTGTAATAGACAGAAAACAGACTTAAATACAAAAATACCACCTCTAGGTTTAGGAAGTGCCTGAGTTCTAGGTTGCTAGAAGCCAGAACAGTATACAGTTTACCTAGTTCCAAATCTCTTCCCTACATATTCATTACTGATCATTGTTGGCAACAGGCTACTGAGCTAGGTAAACTTTTTCATTAAATAATATTTATTTCAATAAATAAATTTCAAAGATTCTAAATATTTGATTTTTATTTTAAACTAATTTTGCAGCACTATTTAAACCCTTAGCATGACTTTTTTCATTCATCTGCTCATTTTCTAAGGCTTCCAGCACACAATGGACATTGACTTTATTGGCAATTAGTGGCTATGACTCTTTAAAAATTTTTTAATTTAAAAATTTTCAGAAGCTGTTTTCCAGCTTCTGAAAGAGTGCCCAAAACGATGAAATCTGGAATGATCAAGTTTACATTCACACATCAGTTCTTTCAACAAAAAGCACAACTCTAAAATTACTCTGTCAGTGATTTTTACAATAGAAAATGTAGTCAGTCGAATACATATGCCAAAATTTAATTAGTAGGCTAGACTTGAAATTGCATTACTTTAAAGAGGTGCTAGGTGAGTTGGCAGTCTAGAACTTTTATAAGAAAAAGATGCCCTAGGCTCTTAAATTTACTCCCTGAGCTGCTCTAGTAGTGCTAGCAATTTTCACCAGGCTGCTTCATTTGCCTTTCAGCCTCATCACCATATGACCTTTATGTTAACACTTGTAATTAGCTATTTGTGAAGCACCTTTTTGGCTATTTATAATGACTACAGTACTGCAACAAGGGAATCTTCTGTAGAAAGACTGGTTTGCAGGATCCCTTCAGAGAATTTTGACCATCTAATCCAAGGTAAAAGAGCCCAAAAAGGAAAATGGGTACTTCATTCCTAGCATCTTAAACTGAGAACTCTGATAATCATTGAGAAATAATTTGATTCTACTTTGGTCATTAACGTTGGTATTCTGACATATTATACCACAGCACATGTGTAAAATAAATACAAATTTTACAGAAATATTTATCTGAATGCTCCAGTTGCATTTGTACATTAATTGTACCAGAGAACGTTTTGACAATTTTTTATAAGTAGACACTGATTAGTGAATTTCACCTATAGTATCAAAACAGTATTCATAAACTATTTAAGTTCAAAACCACACCTTTGCAAATTGGTTTACTCTGGTTCCAAGTGCTGTCTTTTATACAACGCATAGTGGATGAACTGGCAGGCTCCATCAAGTATCCTGGATTGCACTGATAGCTGACTGTTTTATTAAAGGTAAAATCATTTCCAAACTTCATGCCGTTTGCTAATGCACCTGGATCTCCACAGCTGATCACTAGTAAGGAAAAGAAAAAAAAGGACTTTTTTTTCAATAAATGTGTAATGAAAAATTGAACTATGTACAGCTAATGTCCTATTTTTTAATTGTACAAAACAGGAACAATTTTGAACAATATATTTCACATAAAATCAAAACTGTAATCTCTAAGTTTTAGCTCAAAAGTCATATTTTTGAGGCATTGCAATAGCATGGGCCAAATATTGTGTTCCTTAAATACACTAACTTACGATGGTAAGCTCTACTGCTACTGCAGACTGTTATGTTAGCGATAGTTCTGACAGGACTTTTCCTTCCTTCATACTGGGATCTTTGTCAAACAGAATCACAGAATGCTAGGGGTTGGAAGGGACCTCAAAAGGTCATGTAGTCCAACCCCTCTGCCAGAGCAGGACCACCTAGAGTAGATCACACAGGAACGTGTCCAAGAGGGTTTTGAATGTCTCCAGAGAAGGAGACTCCACAACCTCTCGGGGCAGCCTATTCCAGTGCTCTGTCACCCTCACAGTGAAAAAGTTTTTCCTTATGTTAACGTGGAACCTCCTATTTTCCAGCTTGCAGCCGTTGCCCCTTGTCCTGT